TGGACCCCCATCTTTTGATAGGTCGAAAAATTTCAGGGTTTAATTTTCTAACTAAGCCTACTTATACATATTCTGTTAAGCAATTTGAATTCAAAGGAAGATCTTCAGACTCAAACAAAGTTCTAAAATATAATTTACCGCCAGCAGAATCCTGTGAGACCTCAGCCACAGACAAAGGAGGAATTCCCATGTTTGAGGATATGCTAGCCCGTCCTTCAACATAAAGTGACCCGCGATTTGAAGACCTCGCTGCAAATGACTGTAATGACAATGAACTCCCAAAAGTTTTGTTTAAATCATCCTTCATGTTGTTGTAGGAAGAAACAGACAATATCTCATCCCTCGAACTTTCATATCCTTCTTCAGCTTCATCAGAAGTCTCGTTCGCTTTAGCCTATGATATAAATCAATCCAATCAAAAGACACAACTCTTATACTAGAGAGATTGAAAGGATACATGGGAGACTTAAATAACAGATCCGAGCAGAAATTTCACCCATTCAGAATCAGAATCTATTTCTTTCCAGTATGCATCCAGGATGATGGGTGATAAAGGAACTGTCCCTGATAAGATCATACAAAGAAATTTAAGCTCCTATGTCATTTTATGGCATATAATTTCCGACCCAAAGACGGGTTGATGAGAAGAACAAATTTAGAAAGCCTTACTAAAGCACGCAAAACCAGTGCATATAAAAGTATCTTAATCATATAGAAAACATTACCATCAGCTCGATTTTCTTCACTGAGCATGTTGTTTTTCTGAATAACCCATATCTGCAGAGGTATTCGAACTTCCTGTAGACAGTCGCCAAAACTAAATCAAAATGAGATAACGATAACAAAGAAGAAATACAAATCCACAGTTTTATAAAAATATATCAATGATTGATGACAGTGATGTACAACATGCACTAACATAGCAAATATGCAATGGCTGATGAATGAAATGAAAGCTGAAAATTTTCATGAAAATATAGACCCATACACCGATGACAGTGCAAAAAGAAGAAGCAAAAGCCAAAGAGGAGAATACAAGAACGACTGAGGAAAAAACTGCATAAGGGTTCCTCTAAAAAGCAGCTCAAACAATGGTCAGATTAATAATTATACTTAATGGGTATGGGAGGAAAATGCAGAGCTTTTACAAGCTTCTTTCCAGTGACTACACAAGATATCCTATGCAGCAATAACTGTGGAGTTAGTTAAGGAAACTATTAGAAACAATTTATAAGTAAGTAGATAAGATAAGGGAATTATATACTAACCACTTCAGAAAACTCTTGTCTCGACTCTCTCTGAGAGGTTCCATCTTCCAGAACTAGATACTGGCCAGACAAGGTACTCCTAACATAGTACAAATAACGTATTGTTGCCCCTTTGTAAGATGGAGGTATTAGGCTTGGTAGAAGGGCTCTTAAGACATCTATAAGTAACAAAAATATTGGGACATTCAGAGCATGAATGATCAAATGAATCTTTTTCAGAATAAGAATAAAAAATATTATAAGAACATTACTACACAAACCAGTGAAAAATATGAGGAATGCAGAAAAACGTTATTTATCAAGAACAAGAGAAATCAGCGTCATACGCTTTACGAATTTGCCTAAAATCATAATTACAATCACTGACACTGAATGCTAATTTTAGGACAGTACAAATTTGCATAATAACAATTATTAATTTACTCCGCCTTACAAGTTTTGGTGGCCCTGCTGGAGATGATTTGATTAGAGACCACCCGTGGAGCTGAGCAATCCATGAATACATACTCACCTGGCACCAAAAAGGATATGCATTATTGATTGATCAGAAGATAACAATAGTACGTTGGGCATGTTAACTCGTGAATTTCTTTCCTCCCATGTCTAACATAAAACTCAAAAAGTAGATAATAATAATTTAATGGAGGGCTATTGCAAGAAAATGCTTCAATTTTCAAAAAATGTCTAAGTATCAACACATACAGGCTAAACTGCAAGTATAAGTAGCGCGGGGTTATAACATTCAGTCTGATCCTTTCGACTCAAGTGATTCCAGCTGATCCTTACCCAATGCATATTTTACCTCTTACATACAGCTAAATTTAAGGAGCTCACAAGTCACAAGCATTAAATTGTAAGAACAATTAACTAAAATTACCCTACAAATCTCATTACTGGAGCTAATTTGCATCTTCTTTCTGCACTTTGCTATCAATCAATACATCACTCACTGGACAACGTTTCAGCTGAAATTGAAATTTCCTCATACCCACAACGTATCCTTCGAATACCCACTCTAAGAACAAAGAGTTTGCACAAAATATTAACACGAAGAGCGGAAAAATGTACCTCGGCGATGCTTATAATCAGGAGTAGGCTTAGGCGTGCTGAACCACTGAGTGTCCAATTTCTCGATCCCTTTAATCTCAAAGCTGAGTTTCTCCATCAGAAGCGACCACGAATTGGTGGGGTTTTTTACCTCAATGGTGACGGTGATCGGATCACCGGGACTGTAGACTTCCCTGTCGGCCTCCAGTTTCAGCTGCGGCGGGTCTACATTTGCGCCGCCGGAGGCAGCGGTGGCGGTGGAGGTGAGGCCGAAGAATGAGAATCTCCGAGAGGGTTTAGCTGGTGGCGGCATTTTTGGGATTTTTTTGGGGGGGATTTTTGGTGTGCGATCGATCAATGGAGGTTGCTGGATGAGAGGGGGGGACTTGATGCCAAGTTTGCTGTGTTTTTCTAATTTTTTATTTTCCCCAAAATTGAAATCTATATATATATAAAATTTCTAGTAAACTTCAATAAATTTTATTCAACTAAAAATTAATAATTAATTTAATAAACATTAAAAAATATATTTACTATTTAATAAAAAGTTGTAACTTTCAGTTACACTATTTATTTTGATAGGTCATATTTTGAAATGTGCACATTTCTGTAACGTTTTTTATGTCTTGATACAAGTATTTGTTTTTATATTTTGGGACTATATGTTTCTTGATATTATATAAATAAATATTTCACAATTAATTCAAAATCACTACAAATATCTCTATTTTATATTGTAGTCATACAATAATAAAAAAATATTTTTTTAAATATTACAAACATACGTCAAATATTTTGAAAAATCAAATCGCAGAGTCACGAGTCCAACAAGTTTAACGATAATGATATGTTGTGATGGGGATTCTGACGATAGGAAAACCATGAATGTTGTATAAATAAGTGTTTAATAATATTTAGATTCAATTTATTAAATTATTTTTTTCTTATTTATTAAGTTATGATTTTTATTTTATTCTATAATATAATTACTTTTTCTTCTATGATATTGTTTTTCGTGCAAATACACAGAGTAAAATTAATGTTTATTATTAATCAATCATTTTTATTTGATATTTTTACGCAATTTCAGCACAAATAGGAATTTTTTTTAACCGAACGATAGGAAACTCCTCTCAACAAAAGAAAATAACAAAGTTCGTATACATAAGGGCAAAACACGTCAGTCAAAGGCACAAACTAGAGAGGACTACTAAACAATCATGTAGAATAAATAAGATTCAAATCAATCCAAATCAAAACTGAAAGCAAAAAAACACACTGAATCCTCTGCACATAACAAACAACATAAAAACCACCCAACCTACCAAAGCAAAGATAGAAAAAAAAAATCTAGCGACTGAATTGTCTCAGACCTAATTAAGTCCTAATGTCTAGGACTGTTATCGAACCGAACTGTTCGCGAACAAAGTTCGTTCGTGTTTGTTTGTGTTCAATAACAGCTTGTTTGTTTAGTAATCGAACCGAACTCGAACATGAAATTATGTTCGTTTAGTTATTGAACGAACACGTATAAGTTCGCGAACTAATCAAGTGTTCACGAACAAAAAAGTATTTTATAATTTTATATATTATATATGTAGTATGTGCATATATAATATTAATATAATATATAAATATGGATATATTTTAAATACTAAATAAAATAACTTGTTATGTATTAAAATAAACAAAAACAAAATCACACGAACTTGTCGAACAATTCGAACAGTTCACGAACAAGTTTGATTATATAAATGAACGAACACGAACATGTCGAACCGATAAATGAACGAACACGAATAAAATTTTTCGTTCGATTAGTAGACGAACAAACACGAACATGTTCGAAAATTAGTCGAACTCGAGCTCGAAAACATTAAGCTCAGTTTAGTTCGGTCCGATAACGCACTACTTATGTCTTCGTTTTCTAAGTTTAGCTCTCACCTGCATACCTTCAAGCCACTCTCTAACAACAGCCTTCACAATGCAAATTGCAATGCTCCGATCTCCAAATATTCTCAAACAACAAGTTTCGATCTTTCCAAAGCCACCAAAGTAAATATATAGCAAGTTCAATTCTGGCTTTAGAAACCTCAAAACTATCAATACAGCAGAGCAGATCATACCCCATCAATCTTCAAACCTGCAATTATATAATTTTAAATCATCCCCCGGTACATGCTTCAACACCCTCTTAGCTCTCACACACTTGAAAAAAAACGTGCTCTATAGTTTTCACACACTTGGAAAATTAGCTGATAGCAGTTAATCAGTTATAAATCAATTTTGAGTGATAGCAAAAAAGCTAATTAATATAGTAAAATTGTTTGATAAAATTTGTTTTTTACATCTACGAGTAGTAGAGATTTTTGTTTTGATTATGTGCCTTTTTGGGTGGATGTGTTTGAGCTGTGACATGGGATCGTATGCACTGTTTTGATTTTTGAGTATGTTTTCCGCCTGTTTACTTCCAATTTTCTTCTATTTAATGCATTAGTGTTGAAGGCGATTCTTTTGAGCTGATTTAGATCATTTAATGACAATGGGTTATGCGGCAAAGGGCAAAACTTTGGTGCTATGATCACGATACACTATAATACTATTGTAATTTTATTTTCTCTTCGTGGGTTGATAGGATTTTTTTTATTTATTTTTTATTTTTTAAGTCTATATTGTGCTGCATAATCAAAGAACAAAGTTATTACAATCTGTGTCGACTGTCGACCAAGTGTCATCGTAAGCAGGAACATGTCGAATAATCACTCGTGCCCTCTTGGAAATTTTTCGCCCGTGCACTAGTTCGAGAATCTTTTCGTGAGTTTGTTGACTCCACTCGGGCTTTTGCATCCACCACTGGTTGCCTCTAATATCCCACCTGGGGCACCTGTTTATCTGCATTTGCTCCAAAGATTTTACGTTTTCTAATATGCACGATGCGAATTCGATCTCGTTTCTTGTCCCACAAAATCCGTTTATTTCCACTTTCTTCAGCTCCGTGTGGATTAGTGTGTCCGATGACAGCATCTTCATCTTCGGGCCATTATCGTACACATATTCTGTCTACAGAAAAGAAAAAAGAAAAAAAAAAAAAAAACGTTTTTATTGACGAACTTGGGGTGTAGTGTATGTCTGTTTTGAAAAACTACCTTTGAAAAACTTACGTCTAAGCGAAACTCGTGCAAGACAGGGCAGATGTTTAGAAACGGAATCATCCCAAAGATCATATACTTGTAAGCTGCATAACCAAGTCTCAGCCTTAATCGCCTGAGTTTGCTGAACGTGTTGGCCGGAGCATCCCTGGGGACCTGATGATGGAAATCAGAAAAAGTCAAAAACCGAAATCATATTAAGGCTATGTTTGGTAAATCTAACTGATAAGTTAACTTATAGCTTTTCAGTGAATTTCGAGCTTACCGATAACTTATGACTTATGCCTGAAAAGTTAGCTTATATGATAAAAGTGTTTGGTAAAATTAGGTGAAATAAAAATTTCAACGCACTTATTTGAAAAGCAACCCAACCCAATGAAGCTCATGAGATAAGCTCGAGCGGTTTGTCCTACTAAACCAAACTTATTTGAATGCAGAAAGTTTATAAGCTAATCAATAATAAGCTGTAAGCTGATATTCATTACCTGAAACATATAAATGTCGTACGCGCTACCCACGGTCAACGACCTCAGTTGACCAGGCGGCAATATAAAGGGCAGTCTCCCCGAGATGTAACGCATTACGTTACTGTACAAGATGAGGTCGACGTGCAGTGTCTGCAGACGAGGGACGTGATGAAATACGAACCCGACTGGCTTACGGTTATGAAACTCGATGCTGACGAGGCTGGCCGCGTGGAACTTGATCTCCCGAACCCCTGCACATGTATCGATGACGAGGCACTCGAGCCTGATGTGGGCCCCACAGAAGCGAAGGGTGGAATAGCCTGGAGCGCACCTACAGTAATTCATCCTCAACTCGCGGAGAGCTGTGCAGCCAGAGAGGAGGGACTCGAGGGAGCCCTCCGCCAGCTGGACTCGACTCAGCCTGAGATTGCGAAGGGACCCACTTGCAGAGTTGGGGTTAAGAGTTGTGGATTCGAGCTCTAGGTGGGTGAGGCAGCGAGTCTCGGGAAGGTGGTGGGTGCAGGAAAACGGGCGACCGCACGAGTTTTTATAATACTCGCAGCAGCATTGGACGGCGAGTTTCCTGAAAAAGTTGTTCAAATAATCATCATAATCTGCATAAGAGCATAGCTATAAGTGAATGGACAAAGGAAAACTGGTGCAGCAGAATGTATTTCTCTCTGAGGACAAACATCAAACACTTGCTGTGCAACACACAAAATCTCCAAATAACAAAATCCCAAAATCCCAGAATGACACTACACTATTTGAATCTATATTAAAAAAAAAATAAAGAAAATGTAAGTATAATTTCCTCACGAATCCCAAGTGGGCGGAGACGAATTGCGGGAAGCGTTCGTAGTACGACTTGGACAGGAAGCAGCAGAAGATGAGGCTGCTGATTTTCGAGCCCTTTCGGCGGGAGCGGAAATAATTTGGCGCGATCCCGGCTATCTCCCAGCACCGGAAAGGGCCGATGGGCTCGGGGTAATCGTCCAAGTTGAGAAAGAACAAGTATCGTTGAAGCAAGACGCGTATCCAGGTGCGGGAATAGGGGCGGCAGACGAGGTGGTGGCAACGGAGGTCGAGGTGGATAACGGATTTGTAGAGGTGGGCCCACCTTCGGGACAGGACGCACGTACGGATGGCGTCCTTCACCGGGAGGCGGTCGAGGATGGAGATCAAGATAGCGTCCGGTAGCTCGTCTATCGGTGGTGGTCTTCTTCTCTTCCTTCTTCTTCTTCGTGTTGTTGTTGTCGATAAAAAAGAAGATGAAATTCGATAAGACAATGTAAAGACTGAAACTTGATAGGCTAATAGCGCGAACCATGTTGAGAAACCTAGTGGTGTGGTAGAGATCATGGCTGACTTCAGTGACTTGGCTTGGCTAACAGGGTGAGGGAGAGAGAGGTCTTTGACAATGCCTTGACTTCAGTGACTTGGCTTGGCTAACAGGATGAGGGAGAGAGAGGTCTTTGACGATGCCTTGTCTTGGTGGTGAAGAAAAGTCTCGTCTCAATTAGTGGGCCGGTGGCAATGTTTAGGCTGAAGTGGACAATTTGCTAAATTTCTTTTGTTAGCCCAACTCGTTCAACATGGGATGACCGTCAAAAACTGTATAATGACCGTAAGATAGAATCATCGAATATCGTGGTAAATATTAATTTATAGGGTAGTAATTTTGACTTCGACAAACAACAATAGTTGACGTTTTATATTGTGTGGAAATTTTCATAAGTATTTTATGAACGTATATATTACAATAATATTACCATGAGCTATATACTCCGAACAGTACCAAAAAGGGAACATAAGAAAGACGGGAGACAATCCTTCTATAAGAAGGGTCCCGTCGACAATAAAGCCCGACTAGCTAGGTGATGGGCAACAAAATTCTGATTCCTATCAATTTGGCTGCAAGACCAGCAATTGAGATTAGATAAAAGCGATAAAATGTCCGCAAAGACTTCATACAAGGCATCATTGGGCGAGAGCTCAGACAAACCACAAATAACTGCTAGGTCATCCGTCTTAGCATATTGGAGTGATACATCCGAATCAAGAGCAAAACGGAGTCCATACCTGAGAGCTAGAGCTTCAGCTGTAACTAATGAAAAAGAGCATGGAATACAAACTGCAAAAGCCGCTCAATACAATCCTTCCGAGTCGCCTATCCAGCCTCCCAAATCAATCGTTGAGTCTCACTCCTCGTGTTGACATCATAATGTGAATTATGGTGTTCCTAATTGTCAATTTGTGGTTTTCACAGTAACCATGTAGATCTAGACTTTTATACATATCTATTACAATTTTTAAACTATGGCTACAATTTTATTATTATAAGGTACTTAACTAACCATTAATAATAAATATATTTCACAACTTAATAATTATTGTAATTATTGTAAGTTTTATCATATATGATTTATTTATTAAATTAATTATTCCTAAACGAACATAGGATGTCTTCCCAGTTTTTTTCGCTATTAGCTGTTTGTATTCAGTTAGTGGCTGTACTTTTGCACATTTGTGCGTTTTTATATATATTATCTCTATCGTTTCGAAAAAAAAAACATATGATGTCAGCCAATATGTTTTACTTATTATATATTTGTTTTCTTAAAAAATGTGGCTTACGTGGACTTTGTTCATAACATAATATAAGTTGGTTGTCCCATAATGTACTTAAATATTTAAAATTTTAAATAGTGTTACTATCATCTAATATATTTATGTGGATGCATGTGATTACCCGCTATATAATATCCGTTGTTGTTTTTTACAATATCAACTGGTTTAATTAACTTCAAACGTGAACTGTGATTTGATATAACATTTATAAAAAAATCAAGCATTATATAATTATAATGGCATGCCTAGATAAGGGAAATAAGAGGTCTTTATGTGAATATTCATAAGTATTTTAAATTATTTAACAAACCATAATTCGGACTATAGTTGCAAATGAGCTAAATCAATCTTGAAACCTTATCAAATCTATTTGGGCTCGTTAAGTTACCGAGTTCAAAACTAGTTGAATTATGTTAGAAGTTAATAAAATTACATAAAACACTTGTTTATCAAGGCTAACACTCTTTAACGAGTCAACTCGAGCCGTATTTAAATGTTAGCAAGTCGAGTATTCGTTGAAAAGGAGAATATAGAGTTTGGCCCATTCGGATCTCTTTGACCATGACAGAATAATTTAATTTTGCTACATTATTGTGGAGTAAAATTTACCTAATTCATATATTTAGCTCATCTATAGGAAAAGATGCTATAATATTAATTAGTTTATACACATAGGTGGTCCATATTACACTCCATACTTATTACACTCTCACATGGGTTTTCGGAAATTTAACCCGTAATCCCAAAATTATACGAAATAATGCCACATGCTTTTCCAGAAGGAACAGTATATTTTCCATTATATAATTACAATTGCATAAAAAACATTATTTCAATAAATAACCATTAATGACAGTTAACAAATGGACACTTGCTCCTAGCATTTTTCCAGACAGTGCTTAAATTATTACTAATTTACAACTCAATGACTTGCCAAACAGCTTGGCTTGTCTTGCAAAGTACAAATTGACACAAAAATAAAAAAAACATTTTCAAGAATAATGAAAATAAGAAGATGATGAAAAGAGGAAGATCGAAAAGATTGAACCTAAGATTTAGTGACAACAAGACAAAACATATGNAAAAAAAAAAAAAAAAAAAAAAAAGGAACTTATCTATGTTAATAATTTATTCAACTAAGTAAACGACCCGCTTAGCTCGAACGACGATCGATAAGACCATGATGGCTCGGTTTTGGTCGAACAGGTTCCGAAACCGAGCAAGTCCTTTTACAAGAAGTGTAATTCATGAAAGCAAACTTATCACTTAAGCTCCTTGTAATATTCTTGGAGTTACCTTTCCACATTGTACCATAGTAATTTGTACCATGATGTTCATCATCACCATCCTTAGAACATTCAACCAATGCTGCAAAAAATGGGTCCCTTCGGAACCTATTGCTTTTCTTGTCGCCGGAGTTGGAGCTTCTGGCAGGCGGCGGCGGGAGGAGATGCTCTGAATATTCCTTCTTCATGGACCCCAATTGGTTTTTCGGGATCCCGGGAAATTTTTCCCAAGAAAACGGGATGCCTTTGAACTTATTGAGAGGTGTCGTTGGACTAAACGTAGGGTAATCATCGAAGTACGAAATTGATGATGATGATGATGACGAGGACCCATGAGACGAAGCCCAAGAATCGGACCGCATTGATGAAAACGACAGCGTTCGATAGCGGCGGGAAAATCGTGTCGAATTCGAGATTTCGAACTCATGATTTTCAAGAATTTGGACATTATTAGAAGCCATGTTTGTTGAATCTTTCATGATCATGGAGAGAAATTGGTTGTGTTCTTTGTGTGTGTGGTTTGGCTTTGTTTTAGTTATTATAGATGAATTATTGTTTGCTTTGTGTAGTTTATTAGGTTTAAAAGCATGCATATAGGTGCATATATGGGGGTTGAAAGTGATATACTATTATGTAATAAATCAAATAACAGAGGGCCCCCCAAAGAAATTATTGAGGTTGAAGAAATTAAGAAAGGGGGACTAAATGGGAAATAAAATAGTTAGGAGTGGGTGTGATGTGGATATTTCATTAATGCTTGTGTTAGGAAGGGTTTAATTTAGAGTTGTTGTGATGCATTTCAAGGAGGTTATTACTTATTAGGGAGTGAGTGGTCAATTACACCACTTAATTAAGGCTATTTTGGGTTAAGTTCGTTTTTTTTTTTAATGCTAAGCATCATTGACTAGCTACCTTCCTGCAAATTAAAAAAAAAAAATATTGGTTCAATCTTCGTGAAAATTATACTATCATATATAATCTTGTCACAAGGAAATTGAAATTAGTTAAAGTTGTGAATAAATTAGTTGATACACATGATATTTGTATGATGCATTCTAAAGAGCAGGCCAGTCATTCATTTTTAACAAAACTAAATACTTACATGTTGAATTTTTATACTTTTATTTTATTTTATTTTTTAGAATATGACATTTCATTTTTAAATATGCATATCTATTTAAAACAATATGTTTGTTTAACCGTTAAACCTACACATATTTATTAATAAGAATATGTTTATTTAACCGTTAACCTACGTAACAGTAGTCTTATGGAAGTTTACAGGGTGTAGAAAAATTGACATTAACTATATATTTTTATAATGATTAACATAGTATATTTAGAAAAATACACATATTTTATAATGATTAACATAGTCTTATGGAAGTTTACAGTAGTCTTACTTATACTACGTGCGAGTAACTTCCAATTTTTCTACCTAAACTAGTGTGATGCTAGAATTTCAACATTTGAAATGTATGTTGTCTATTTTCATAATAAAGAGCCTTAAATATTTTTTATTTTTATTATTATATAAGTAACTTCATGTACTATTTTTATTAGAGTAGTTGGTATAGGGTTGTGTCATAATTTCATAACCCTCCAAGAGTGGGATGCCGTAATCTTCTATATAACTAAAAAAATGCATATTTATAGTTTTATACTATCAAATGTCATAGTTCGGTTTATTTATTATTATTATTATTATTATTTTTTAAGTATGACATTTTTTGTAACGAATGTATGCACATTTATAAAAAAAAAAAAAGAGAAGTATGCTAACCCAAATTATTTATTTTCTCCTCAAAAGCTCCTTTATTCCGTTAAAATAAACTTTTCCAACTACAGAATATTCAATTACACACTAAAACAGCAAATTATGAAATATAATGTCATTTTGTTGTGGAATTGTAAATCAATCTGCAGAGGTAATATCTACAACAGCATTATACATCCAACTCCAAATTCCTTTTTCCATACAAATAATGAATTTAAAACCAATATAATTTCAGTTCACAACTACACTAAACAAATTCGAATCCGAATTCAACGAAACATCATATCCAGTAACTATTCGTATATTCGCTTCCTCTTCGAAAGAGTTGGAATCAACAAAACAGAACCAATGAGAAAATGTACCGCTAATGTCTTCAAGTCGTACAAGTCTTTCACCGACTTAAGATCACCAAGAGCAAGTCCCGCCTGATCAAGAAAAAAAAAAATGGAAAAAGAAAAATGAAAGCTCACCCGAACAGGAATATAAATGAAAGCTCACCCGAACAGTAATATATGAGGCTGGAATGAGACCAATGACTGTTGCCAGAAAGAATATATGAAACGGGACATCCACAATAGGTGAAGCCAAATTGATGAAAAGATTAGGCAATGTGGTAGTCACTCTTAGAAAGAGCATGTAGTTGAGCAACTTCTCTCTTTGCTTTGCTATCTGAATATAATAACGATTGAAAAAAATTACAATAACCCAAAATTTGCGAAAAATTACAAAAACCATCTTTTAGTTTGGTTCTGTATGACATTTATTTCCCTTCATAAGTAAAAAGGGATATTAGAAAAGCCCCCGATAGTTATAAACATAAATTAGATATGGGAAATCATGCTATCGTGCTTCACTATCTTGTTTTCGTGTTATCTATTTTATTTTATCATAAATATAATAATAAGTCAAACTTTGTGTCGTGTCGTGTTCACATTTTATGTCATGACAGCCTAATTTCAATGGTTTTCTCATAATGGACAAAAACCTACACGATTTTGTAATTCACCCTCATATCAAATAATAGTTTAACAATTGGGGACATGCTTTGCAGAGAATATATCGAGAACAGTAAGAGTGTGTTTGTTTACTGTCCTCAATATTATCAATAAAATTAAATAATATCAATTAATTATTCTTACACATCACATCAACTTTAATTCATTATTCATCCGTTCACATAATTTTAACTAACCATCACTTCACATCACAACTCTCCTACTTTTATGTCAAATCAACTTTAATTAATTTATTTTAAGCATTATTTTACTATAAACTCAAATCTCACTAACAACTAACAATACCACATTTTTCAAAATTAACTCTGGTTAACCAGCAAAACTCATTTTGAGCGGATATATTTGTATCCAAGCACGCCCTAAATCAACTTTAATTAATTTATTTAAGTATTATTTTAATATAAACTCAAAATCTCACTAACAACTAACAATACCACATTTTTCAAAATTAACCCTGGTTAACCAGCAAAACTCATTTTGAACGGATATATGTATCCAAGCACGCCCTAAATATGACAATAAGTCAAAATTCGTGTCGTTTTCTCCTAATAGACAAAAACATACCCGATTTTGTAATTCACTCTCATATCAAATAATAATTGAACAAATTGGGGGAATGCAATGCAAATAACAAGAATATATCGAGAATAATAAGTAAACACAACATTTTCCGCTGCCTCTAAGCTCATGTTCCAATAGTTGCAAGCAGTATTAATAAGAATTAGAAAAGGAAAAGTGAAATATATGTAAAACCATACCTCTGCCTGAAAATATCTCAACTTCTCGGGCCAAATCCAGTTAACAACAGGCCTCCCGATTAGCTTAGACAGAAAATAGCAAGACGATGCACCAGCAGTAGCGTTAAATACGACCAAGAAAAGGCCTCTCACGACTCCAAACAGAGCTCCTGCAAGTAAGGACATGAAAATCGTGCCTGGTATCATGAATGTCTGCATGAATATGTACGTCGAACAATAGCCCAAGATGAACTTTGTAGGGTATAATCGAGCATAGCTTGCAAGTTGATTTCTGGAACATTATATCAATTCCAGCCATGAGAAAACGAGACATTACAAAGCTCCCCATTTTCGGATAATCTGACCATAAGTACTTGTTTTCTTCCTTTTCTTATTTCTTTTGAGATAAGGCAGTTTGTGCAGCTTAATAAAAATGCGAAACTTTTGGAGGCAGCTAATACAATATGTAAACGATTGGATAATTTATCGAGAATGAAAGATTTTCGAACTGCAAGCTCATCTCTTTCTTCTTAAAGTGCTCGACCCGATTAACAGAGATGAAATTTAAGCAATTAAGATACATGCAACATCTTATAGACAACTCTTCAAGCTCTATACCCATAACAAATCCAAAGTGAGTTTTCAGTTCAATTTACACACAAAAAGGGATTGCAGTCAACAGAACATATCCAGTTACAAAGAGAAATTCTCCACATGATTTTTTCCCCAATTACATATCCTCAACATAGAATTTCAGACTTGAGCTGAAATAAAACTAGCGTAATGAAAATGTATGTGAGAAGGTGGGAAAAATATATATCTTATTATTCACAAAGAGGGTACACATATATATAGATACACATATGAGCCTTAGCCTAAACCTAACTTATAGTACAATATCAATATTTACATATTTAACACCCCCCCTCAAACTCAAGGTGGTATCGTGGAGATCAACTTGAGTTTGCTAAGAAGTAAACAAAAGCGACCGGGAAGGAGAGACTTGGTGAAGACATCCGCTGGTTGATCTGTAGAGGAGACGGGAACAAGCTTCACAGTCCCACGTGCAACATGCTGTCGAATGAAGTGACAATCAATCTCAATATGCTTGGTGCGCTCATGAAAGGTATCATTATGAGACATCTTTATAGCACTCTGACTATCACAATGTAAAGTAGTAGACGACGACTGAGGAGCACCAAGATCAGTAAGTAAGCGACGTAACCATAATAGCTCGGAGGTGGAGTCAGCAAGAGCACGGTACTCAGACTCTGCACTCGATCTGGAGACTAAGGTTTGCTTCTTACTACGCCAAGAGACGAGTGAATCGCCCAGAAAGAAGCAGTACCCAGTAATGGAACGACGATCAGTAGGATCTCCAGCCCAATCGGCATCAGAATAGCCGCTAAGTGTCAAGGAAGAACTAGCAGAGAAGTGTAAACCATGCAATAGAGTGCCTTTCACATAGCGAAGAATGTGCAACACAGCTGAATGATGCGTGGTTCTCGGAGCAGCCATAAACTGACTCACAATATGAACAGCATGAGCTATATCAGGCCGAGTGACAGTCAAATATATCAAACTCCCAACAAGCTGGCGATATAATGTAGGATCCTCAAGAAGAGAGCCATCTAGTGGAGTAAGACGAACATCATAATCAAGAGGTGTGGAAGCTGTCTGACAATCTGTGAGACCGGCTCGAGCAAGAAGATTAGAGGCATACTTGGCTTGAGACAAATAGAAGCCATCAAAGGAATCAGAAATCTCAAGACCCAAAAAATAGCGAAGCTGGCCCAAACTCTTCATCTCAAAATGCTGGCGAAGATAGTCCTGTAAATCGGAAATACCAGTAACATCATCTCCCGTGATGATCATATCGTCAACATAGAGCAGCAAAATAATAATCCCAGAAGAGGAGCGCCGAAGAAACAAAGCGGAATCATGATCACTCGTAGTGAAGCCAAACTGAAACAATGCAGAACTGAACGTGGCATACCAGGCACGAGGAGCTTGTTTCAAACCATACAAAGCTCTACGTAGACGCCAAACCTTCCCAGAGGACAAGGACCCCGGAGGTGGAGTCATGTAAACCTCCTCAGATAAGGCACCATGCAAGAAGGCATTCTTGACATCTAACTGCAGAAGAGACCATCGACGAACAGAAGCAACAGAAAGTAAACACCGAACAGTAGTAAGACGAGCAACTGGTGCAAAGGTCTCTTCATAATCGATGCCGTACTCCTGTGAGTACCCCTTAGCAACTAGACGAGCTTTGTAGCGCTCAACAGAACCATCGGAATTTGTCTTGATCTTATAAACCCATTTGCATCCGATAGGTTTCTTCCCAGCAGGTAGATCCACCAAATCCCAAGTATGAGTCTTCTCTAACGCCTGCAACTCATCAGCCATAGCTTGTTGCCACAATGGATCAGCACTCGCCTCACGAAAAGAGCTAGGCTCATGATGAGATAATATGGCCGAATAACAATGATAGTCAAGTAAGTGAGAAGGGGGACGACTTACACGAGTTGATCGTCGGTGATCAATGGTAGGGGAAGGGACAGAATCAGAAGAGGACTCAACATGGAGCGGCAGTTCAGGATGCGCAGGTGGAGTCACTTCAGAAGACGGAGGCATGACAGGCGTGTCAATGAGCTGTGAGTCAGGACAAGTATCTGGAAAGAGATCCGAAGTAATGGACATGAAGAAAGGAGATGACGAATC